GAGTGGTAAAACCATTGAATATTCGCTTTTAATTGGACTAAAGAGTTTTGCTTGAAAAGGAATCAAAATGCTTTACTCGTATGTGCAATGGAGGAACAATAAAACCTTTGGAGCTTTACTTCATTTAAGCCCTTATAAGCAACACAATTTTTAGGTGTAAAAGACATTTAATTCAGCTCCTTAAAGTTATTTCTTCAGTAACATTCTACAGTTAATAAGACGAAATTGCAGTTGATGAGTAATTTCATATCTTCCACATTCTTCAAGAAGAGATATAGTAATTAGGATTTTATTAGCTAGAAATATTATGAAATTGCCTGTGATTTCGGCAAAATAAGCATCAGAATGCTCTTATTTTTTCTTTCAGTGAATAGAAGTTTGAAACGACTTATTAAAGGTTTTAAAGTCGTAATAGGCGCTAAGTTTATCAAGCTGAATTTTTATTATTTTAACCTATTTGTGAAATAAATTTTAGAGTATTCATGATAGAGGATTTTTAATTTTCAATGAATTATTATTATCATTTCTGGCTGTGCAGAATATAAGCAGTTTCTAAAAATGAATCGTCGATCGGGACGTTCATTTCTAAAATGATGAGATGAGACCGATGAAAAATGAGCGTCTCATTATGACTTAACCAAAATTACTATCATGTTACTGCGGCCCGTTAGCAACGAGACAACAAACGTTTTAGCCAAGGCTTTGAATTATTTAAAGAATACATTAAATGTATGCAAGCGATCTTAATGCTGGAAGAAACTCTACAGTAAAGAAGCTGTTATACCTGGAGTATTATTCCAAAGTTACTAAACACAAATTAGCTAAAAGATTCTGTCCAACTGTTTCGATTTCGACAATTTTGATTTCAACTCTTGAATACCGGCCCAGCATGCAGACCACCACACCACGAAGGCGGGAGAAATACCTTATAGTGTTATTTATTTGCAGTATTTTATTTCTACTCAACCCTGACCCATATTTTTACATCAAAGTAAAAATGCAACATTATTTTTAGGGTAGAAATGGAGAATAAATTTTGAAACGATAGACTCGGAAACATGGCCACGCGTGATGTTTTTTCTTCATAGAATCACTTTAAATTTGAAATGGTATTTACGATCTTTCATTCTTTCTCCTTATGTTTTTATATATGATTTAAAGGTAAAATTTTTAGCAGCTACGTATAAGGTAAAGATAAACACAATTTTGTTTGGAACAAAATATATTGTGGAACATACCAAACAATACTGAAAGTAATATCTGTAAATAAGTTTTTATAAAAAAAGAACAGTAATGTTAATACATTTATGCATATAATTCATACAAACTTTTTATTCTGTTAAGTGTTTTTTTAATCCTTGCTCTCATATATAATAAATACCGCATAAATTTTCTCTTTTAAGTTCAAAGAAATAACATTTGTAAAAATACGGAAGGGATATGAGAGTAAATGCAATCCATTCAGAACTGAACTAAACACGTCTTTTAGTCTAATATGTACACTATATAATTTTCAAAAGAAAATTTAATGCAATGCAATTTGAAAACTTAAAAAGCCAGCAAATTGTTAAAAAAATAACAAAATCACTGATTCAATAATTATTTCCTTCTTGGATAAAAACTGAAACATGTTTATTTAATGCAGTTAAGTAAGAAATGCTATAATGTGCAATTGTATTTTTTATGGTTATAATTTTAGTCCCCTTAAATATTGAAAACATGTTAAAAAACTCAAAATATCATATGAATCACTTTTTCAATCTTTCTCTATTTTTAATGCCCCTGCAAATGATATTTATGCCGTAATAATTGTCTAGCATTACTGTGCTTTTATTTTATGGCTCATGTATTTTTGCTTGAGCGGCTTTCAAGTTTTCAAAGAATGATTTTGGGAATTTTTGAAAGGAATGGATATATCCTTAAAAGTTTCAGCATTTCAACCCGACAAAAGCATCTTCACCAAAGCGTGTAATTATGCTCATTTATAACGATAAAAGAAATATATTAATATAAAATTGTAAATTAGACAAAAAAGAACCAGGGAGGTGCATAGATTTTGGATGATTCAGCTATCCAGTGCATTTTTGAAACTGAATCAGACAACTGTTTTTCTTTCTTTCCTTAACATTCGAGTTATTCGCAATAAATACGAGTTTAGAAATAAACCTTTTCCCGTTTACTTACGAAATGATTTCATCTGCTAAATAAAAATAACTTGTTTTTACTTTTACGTGTATTGCTATCTCAAGGATTTGTGTATTGCTATCTAGTGTTACGTGTATTGCTATCTCAAGGATTCTTCAGAATTATATCTCTCTCAGGAATTCAATTATTTGAAGTTTTTGCCATTGGCAAAGGATTATACCAATGCTATTGATAAAGGCTTAATAATATTTTCCTTTTTCTTCATAAAACATATTCTTCTACTAGATATAACCACAATAATCTTGCTTTCATCCTATTTTACCTTAACTCCTAGGGAATTTGTAGTATTTATTATCAGCGTGGTCTGGTATATATCGGCCGGACAAAAAAAAAAAGTTAAAACTTCGCAAAAAAGAAAACGAATCTTAGGTTCGAAAAGAGAAACAGACAAACCTTTTATAGCTAATCATAATCACTTTTCCATCATCCCTTAACTCTGTCCTGAGCTCTGCGAGAATTATCCCCGAAGCCTTTTGTTTTGGAGGATTTCTTTAGAGACTTTCACATTCATAAAAATGTTTCTTACACATCTCAGAGCTTTTAAGATTTTAGTAGCTGAGCTTTTCACTCTTCATTACTTTCTTCCTCGAGAGATTGCGCTACATTCTTTTTCCCTTTGCTCGGCTCATTTATTTCTCTATAAATCTAGTTGATATTCCTTTCACCGTTGCTACATTTTTAGTCGGAAGGAGGACAACAGTACCTTACGGAATCACAGCGGAATTTTCTGAAACTTTTTTCGAAAAAGGAAATTTTCAAAGAACTAGAAACCTTAGGGCTATGCTTTGCAAAGTCATACAGTTTACTAGAAAGAAAACCAACTGCACCGAAAGACATCAAATCCACTTCCTGAAAATCTCTCACAGAGATGTAGGTAAAGAAACCTTCACATTATTATTTCTCTTTAATCTCAGGATGCGAGTCACATCTTCTATAGCTACAAAATTTTCTATCAAATGTTTCCATTATTAGTGACTTTGACAAGTACAGGTCAGTTTTTTCAACAAGCTTAGCCATTTAAAATGTTCCAAGGACGGCCAGACGCATAGCTGTCATATTCTCAAAGAAGATAAGGCAACGTACACCTGATATTTCTGAGATCATTTGGTTTGTTCCAATCTACCCAAAGCATCAGGCTGTCTAGTAAAACATCAATTTTATCAAGCAAAGATCTTTGACTAAAGAGTAGAACCACAAGCCTGGTGTACTTAAAATCCCAGAAAAATAATAGACATCCTGCCGGATCCCCTAAGCATATTCATGGATCGATAACTGAGAAGGCATTTGCAAGATTTTGTAAAATTAGTCGAGATGTTTAAGTAAGCGAAAACTCTATTTCAAACGTTTAAGCTCTATTTAAAACAAAGCAGCTGAAATGATTGAAATGATGACATAAGTGGGCTACGAATGCGAATTTTTTTTTTTTTTTTTTTTTTTTTTTAATTTTACACTAATGCTAAAATTTCATCTTTGGGAAAGTTGCTCCTATCCTTCCCAATTTGACAACGAATAGTAACTTAGCTATTGGTCGAAATTTAACAATTTATGTATTTCTCTAAACTCTCTTACTTGTGAGAGATCTCTTTATGTTACGTGACCTCAAAATTTGTGATGTGGAAATCGCTTCAGTCTTTAGCTCTAACGAGACGTTTGGTACTACTTTTACTGTACCTTGCTTAAGAATTATGTTAATTGTAGCTAGCAGAATCTCCCTTTACATTATTTTCTTAAGTCAATTGTGCACCTTCGAGCATTTCAGCGTGATGTTCTTTAATGTCTTATTTTATTTAGCTTATTACGACCCGATCCTGGACAAAATAAGCTTATCCGTCTAGTGAATCATCGTATAAAGTTTTCAAAAATATTTTGCCCTAGAAATGAAAAGGAAGTACGTCAGATCGTCTTCGAAATTCAAAAACTGCGTTACTCTAAGGTTAGTTTTTTGCCTCATTAAAAACAAGCATACCAATTTTTCTATTTTAAATATTTAAATAAAGTAAAGATAAGTTTAAGGTTTTCGTATGTGTGTGTGTCCAACATACACTAAAGTAAATGTTCATTTAAACTCAGATCTCAAATTTTGCTTGTTTCTTGCAGACCCGATTTTGAATGGAATGCTTATGCACTTAGTTCCCATTTACGTCAAGCTAGCATTCTAAAACACAATCACACAAAACACGCAAAAGAATCAAAAGTTTCTCAGTTAATGTATCATGAAAACTGAGTTTTTAGCAAATGCCTCTTTAAAAAAGTTGAAGCTTTGTTAATTTATGTTTTATTATGATTTACGAGCGTTCAGTACTAAACATTTAAGTATTATTTACATTTGAAATACGGTATAATCGTTAGGGTAGACTGACTGCGATACAGAAATCCTGGGTTCAAAAGCCGGAGAAGGCATTGGATGTAAAATTACCTGTCCCTTCATAGGAGGTAGCGGTGGCCGCCTATTAGGTGCCTCCACAATAAAATGGACACCACTTCAAGCCTAGTAGTGGCCAATGCTGTTACAGGCAAGTGCCCACCATTGGGAAAAAACAAATCTTGAAAGAAGCAAAGTGAATTTACTCAACAACTATTAGGTAACAATTTATTACTGTGTCAGATCATTATATAAAGCTCTAAATTCTGTAAATACTGCTATTTAAGTAGGAAAGTGAGACAAAATTCTGTCGATAATTACTATGGCTTGATAAAATACTATTAATATACAAGGTTAATGAAACTTCCACTTATTCTCTAATTTGTTTTCACGTTTTGTTTACAGTTGTCAATATCAGCAAGAACCAGCTTACCCTCTAGGAGGTTCGTGAGGCAGATGAAGATCAAAATCCGTGAATGTGATTTGTACCCTTTCTCCACTAAGGCCTGTGAATGTATAGATGCAGTGCATTCGAGTTGGATACGGCTCTGGATAGTTGGGGCTGGTAAAAGTTCCATTTTTCGTCTTCGAACTGGATATCTCTTCACTACAAGGTAGAGGACCTGAAAAGATATTGAATATCATATTGCATATGTTAAATGCACTGTATTTGGTGTCCGACGAAAACATGACGGCAAAAACATCGCGGACGAAAACGTCGCGGAGAAAACAACGCAAGGCGAAAACGTAGTAGTACAAAACACCGTGGGAGAAAAGAAAGCAAAGAGGAAACATAACTCTTAAAACCTGAAAATCGCATGTGTGCGATGTTGTCGTCATGCGATGATTTTGTAGGTGCTTTATTTTTTATCACGATATTTTTAACGACGATGTTTTTAAACTGCGAAGTTTTTGAAACGCTTTATTTTCGACCACGATATTTTGTACCATAATGTTTTAGAAATGCGACGTTTCCTCTTTCCTTTATTTTCTGCGACGATGTTTTGTACCACGTTTTCGCCTTGCATTGTTTTCTCCGCGACATTTCCGCCTGCGATGTTTTACAGCGATGTTTTCGTCTGTAACCCTATATTTGGCTGTCATATTAAATGTGAATTCTATTTTTACTGTGTACTTTTAATAATGATTGGTAGCGATAAATAATAAAAATATTGGACCTTTCTTTAAAGGCATATTGTTTTCATTTTCTTACCTTTTTGATGACGAACACTTAAGTTTTTCTTACTTTGATACAACTGTGATTATCAACTCATAGAAAGAAAAGTACTCGTAAATAATAATTTACCAAAAATTTAATTTAAACGGACAGTATTCAATATTAAATTCAGCGGGTATTATTGCTGGAACTTAGATAGTTAAATTATGCCGTAATATAAGTTCCCTTGAATGTTTTGCCAATTATGTTGTTTTATATTATAATTAAGAAAAAAAACATATGTAGGATAGGTATGAATCCAAAGCTGAAGAACACATACTCTAGTCGTAGAGGTAGCCCTGAACAGGCAGAAAACTATTCTAGATATTTTCGTTCAAAATAGAAAACTGCCAATAAAGTATTTGAACAAACGGAATGAAGATGAGATATGAAAATAAAGTTTTGAGTCCTAGCAAGCTAAACAGAGCTTATTTTTGTCTGCATCTTACAAAATTGGGTCTTACAGTTATTACTGGGACCTTAATTCATAACAAAATATGAAAAAGAAATATTTAAAGTACTTTGCTCAAAACTTTGTAATTAAAAATATTAAGAACTCATTAAACTTACATATGATAGCTGTTTAGTCATTTTGAGTGAAGTTCCTCTGTTTGTGCTTCCATATAAGGCACTTCTTGAAAGGTTTTATTTAACTAATAAGCTCCTTGGAAGAGGAATGTCAAATTCTTGTTTTGATTCACTTGATTCTCTTTAAATTATTACAAAGCAGAGGTATTGATTGTATTGAGCTTTTCAGTTAGTTCATAACGCACAAAATGGTGAAACTGGACTTCGGCCATTAAAAACTTGAGAGAAGTTACAAAATTAACTTGATACCATTATTTCCTAGTTTGTTTATTGCTTTGAGACTCAAGTCATATAACGGAGGTAATGCTTTCAGACACAATCAGACAAGTTGACTGAAGGACCTACATAATCAAGCAATCAATATTAATTCTTATCTTTTTTAATTATTTTCATTAATCTACTCAATTACGTTATTTTGAAGTAAGCAAGTCCAATGAAAAGGAAGGTATATATATAGAAACAAAATTAATAGAAATAAGAACTGTTAGATAAAATTATAAAAATCTTAAAAAATTTCATCCTCCTTCGAAAAAAAAATTTTTTTCTATGAGCCTCTGCAACTATTTAATGTTTAAAAATAGTAATATCAAGAAGTAAAACATCACTTCATGAAAGCAGGATTATTTTTGTAACATTTATTTTATTTTACGAGTAAGTTTTAGCAAATTTCAAGACTTGCAGTATAAATAAAGCTGATGGAGACATTTATAATTTCATTTAAATTACAAATATTCGGGTCATAGAAAGTAAATCATATGTGTTCAATTTATCTGTCGCTTAAATCTTTCTTGGATTTTGCAACATATCTGTAAAATGATATGAATTATTCAAAACCTCTTAGCATTTTGAAAGAAAAAATGTAGATCTGAACTTTTCAGATCTTTTGAACGGTAACGAGGCGTTTATGCTGTCAGTCCTTGCTCTCTTAGCTACTCATGCGCAGTAACACACCTGTTGTTATGGTAAAACGATGAGCAAATTATTCCATGGCTTATTCTTACCATTCTCTTTGCATTTGCATGAGCAGAATGGAAATTTCAATTGTATATTTGTGTCAGAAGGCAGTGCAGTGGGTCCTACCAAAGTCAGTTTTTTTTTAAAGGATGAATGATATACGCGTTAATTCAGGAAAGCTTTTCTTTTCTTGCACTTTCTGGCTGAAAAATTTTTCTTTATTTTTGAATTTAAAATGTGCTCAAGAATAAAACATTCTTATTACTTTCTTTCATGTGCACTTTAAGAAATTCTTCACATTTAAGATTGATGAAGTTTGTTTTTAAGAAAAGGCTGCAGTAATAAGAATTTAAATTTTTCTTAAATTGCAAAATCGATTTCAACGTTGAAGAAATCATCTTAAAAATGTGAAAGTAAAAAAAACGTATATTTTACCTATTATTCAGGTAAAAGGAACAAAGGTTTTAATAATGTCCGTGGTAACAGTATTTATATATTTCTGTTAAATAAAGTTTAGTAACTAATTTATGAGTTATATCTCAATTTCCTCATAAAGCAAAATAATACCTGAACTATAGTAATAATGATATATAATATGATACCGGAACTGAGATATACAGGGTGTTTCAGCAAATCGGTTACAAACTTTCAGGTGAGATAGAAGACACCTAGACGATGGAAAAACACATAGCAATGTATGGTCATAAACGCTCTCCTAGCGCTGTAGTGACGACACAAAACACAAGAAAGGAAGGACACGAACAGGGCGAGAATATATGTTTATTATGCTTAGTGCAGAGGAAACCAAGAAATAGGAACAAAACAGACGATCGTCATCAAAGAAGGTGTTCGAAATGCATTCTCAGAATGGGATCGGTAGGGGTGGTCCGTTGCATTGGCCAGCAAGATCGCCAGACCTAACTTACATTGAGTACTTTCTCTGGGGGGGGGTACGCCAAGACACTGATGTACGAAACCCCTGTTAGAAGTGCTGATGAACTTGTAGCACGCATCGTGGCAGCTGATGGGAAGGTTCGGGACATTCCCGGTATTTTTCAGGAGGACTTCAAGATCTACCATGTGGCGGAGATGTGATTCGAAGGCCTAATTTCGAACATCTTCTTTGATGACGATTATTCTGCTATACTAAGCATAATAAATATGTTTCCTCATCCTGTTCATATTGTTCCTTTGTTGTGCTTTGTGTTGTCACTACCGCCCCAAGTAAGCCTTTTCGACTGTACATTGCTATGTGATTTTCCATCGCATAGGTGTACTGTATCTCTCCTGAAAGTACGTAATCGATCTGCTGAAACACCCTATATAGGGTATCAAGCAAAAGCACCATATTTAGTATGTCCAAAAGACTTCTTTATCCTTAATAGAAAATACTTCTACATACTCTCAGCAGGTAAATTTCCCGATATAAGAGCTTCGAGTTTGATTTAACCTGATAATTATGGCATATTATCGTTTTCAGCTCTTTTCACAGGTTCGTTTTAGCTTAGCTCAGATGGAACATTACTCAAAGGAAGCGCGAATTTTGATTGTGAAAACTCATTTAAAAAATGGCCAGTGTTATGCTCAGACTATTAGAAAGCTCCGTGAAATCTTTGGAAGTAAAAGTGAACCTAATGAAATACCAGTTCGCAGATTGACAAAGACATTTGAGAACAAAGGTTTGACAGAAAATTTTAAATCAAAAGACCGATTCTCGATATCTTGGAAACATCGCTATTTTGCATGACAGTGCTATTGAAAGTATCCGAAACATCCGAACTTATGTCTTAATTTTCGCACAGGGACTTACCTGAAACTCCGTGAATGTTCTACCTAGAAATAGTAGTTTATCACAACGTTTATTGAATATCTACTTGAAAACTGCACTTTAGAAAATTCAGCTGATGTTAACATTTTCACTATTAATAAGCACAGCTAATATAAAGAAATTTTTAGCTAAGAGAAAGAAAGCTCAATCTGAAATGTAGAGAGTTGTTTTAAAATTTATGAATTTTTAGTAGCAAATATAATTATAGCATATAATGCAATAGTTAAATTTATCCTTTTAGGAATTTTGCTTGAAAGGATCATTAGAAATAAAATGCAATGTGAAATAAAACAGTACTCAAATAAGGGGCTTGATTATATATTTGTGCTTTTAAAATCTGAGTTAACGTCCAGAGTTTATATATATATATACGTCAACTGCAGATGAAAGAAAAAAAACTATTTCATACATTTAAAAAGCTGCTAGCATATCATACTCACGTTAGAAGAAATTAGGTTTGTATTTTATTTTCTGAAACGAATGTTCAAATTTTGACATAATTTCGAAAGTGTCACCGAAGGTTTATAAAGTAAATTTGTAAGGATTATGTTAATTTTATTAACAGTTAAATTTTAAGTTCCTTTCCTGTCAAACTTCAACTTACTACTTCCGGCCTTGGAATCTTTCTGAGTACTTAATGAGGAGAAGCGGTATTTAAACCGCGAAGTCTACTTACAGAGTTAGAGAGAATCAGAGTTTCTGATTTACGCGCGTCTGCCTTTTGGCCACTCTCCCTCTCAAAGCTGTTATTACGCTCGGCCGTACTCAGGCCCTTGATAAGCTTCGTAGTCAAGTAAAGTTAAGGGGCCAAATCGATTAGAATCTTGATAGCTTCGGCTATATTTCTTCAGTTAATCTTACTTTTAGTTTAATTCTTAGTCTCTTAATTTCAAGCCCAAGTGTCGGCTTTGATTGTACACTCCAAGACGGAGTTTTGTTAAAACTTATTGGAATAATAAAGGGTTAGTTACCCTTCCATCTTGTTGTTTAATGTTACACGAACTTAAGCGATTATTCGCTAACTAGTTCTTAAGATT